GTGAGGCCCCATCTGGAGTACTGTGTCCAGTTCTGGGCTCCCCACTTCAAGAAAGATGAGGAGCTACTGGAGAGAGTCCAGCGGAGGGCTATAAGGATGGTGAGGGGACTGGAGCATCTCTCCTACGAGGAGAGGCTGAGGGAGCTGGGCTTGTTCAGGCTGAAGAAGAGAAGGCTTGGAGGGGACCTAATATATGCTTACAAATATCTGAAGGGTGGGTGTCAGGAGGATGGGGCCAAGCTCTTTTCAGTGGTGCCCAGCGACAGGACAAGGGGCAATGGGCACAAACTGAAGCATAGGAAGTTCTGTCTGAACATGAGGAAGAACTTCTTCACTCTGAGGGTGACAGAGCACTGGAACAGGCTGCCCAGGGAGGTTGTGGAGTCGTCTTCTCTGGAGATATTCAAGACCTGCCTGGACAAGGTCCTGTGCAGCCTGCTGTAGGTGACCCTGCTTCGGCAGGGGGGTTGGACTAGATGACCCACAGAGGTCCCTTCCAATCCCTACCATTCTGTGCTTCTGTGATTCTGTGATTCTGTTTGATATTTGCTTAGATCTTGAAAGTAACTGAAATGTTTGCAGTTCAGGAATGGCTGTCCAAAAAAAATACAGAAACATTGAATAATTTAGGTTGCAAGGGATTTCTGGAAGTCATGGAGTCCAACTCCTGCGCAAAGCAGATACAACTAGATCAAGTGGCACTGGGTCTTGTCCAGTTCAGTTTTAAATACCTCCAAGGATGGAGATTCCACATCCTCTCTAGGCAACTTGTTCCAGTGTTTGGCCAAGCTCATGGAGAAAAAATTTCCTTGTATCTGATTGGATTTTCCCATATTGCAACTGGTGTCCATTGCCTCTCACCATTATCACTGTGCACCTTGAAGAAGTGTCTGGATCCATCATCTCTATAGGCTTCCCTTAGGTATCTGAAGAAATGGGGAGTACATGCAGGTATGTCAGTCTGGCACTTCACAGAGACATGCTGGAATAGAACCAAAAAACAGTATAGAAGATCTTGGATCATTTGTTTGTTTGTTTTCCACACTGATTCCGAAGGTTCACGGAAGTACTTGAATCTCTGTACAGCCACTCCCATGAAAACCACAGAGCAAAAGTGCTCTATAATTTTCAGTCTGACCTTGTGCATAATGAGAACAACCCAATTAAAAGAGCATAGGTGGCAGAAAGATACCCAAACCACTCTGTAATTGGCCTGGAGACGATTTCTGTTATACAGCCACCGAAGGCCATAGACTAAAACTGCCCCTGGGGGATTCTGATCCAAAATGTATATGCTAGGAGTGGGTATGGAACGGGAAGGATACTGCTAAAACTGTGGGCGCTGCTGCAAGTCTGTAGGGCAGCCCAGTGGTATTCATTGACACCAGAGCTTTGAGATATACACCAAAGGTTTCCATAATCCTTGTAGCAACTCGGCATCAGAGGGGACAAAAAATGGTTTACAGCCCCCACAGTACTTGTTCTGTGGACTGTAAGAGTCAGAATGCTGTATTTCAAGAATAGCCCTCTGGAGAGGGCATCCACTTCATTTGCTTTCCCATGGAGATGTCCCACAAACAGAGACATTAAAACTTGAAATTTGCGTTATTTCAAATATAAAAAATTAAGGGAAAACATAGCATCCCAATAATCTGTCACGCATTCATTACATATCACAAAGGAGGAAAAGTGCTTACCTCCCTTGATGTCACACTAAGAGCTTACAATGAACAGGCAGAAAATATCACTGCACTGGTATCCCCTGTGGAGATCAGATTTGACACTTCTGGCCGGAGCTGAAGTGCTCCGTTGCTGCACCAATAGAGAAAGAACAATTTGGGACAAGTAAAACAAGGAAATAAGATACACTAACCAAGTGATCTCTTCAAAGCAACCCTATTAGAAAGATACTGGACTGTGACTCCTATTTTTAGTAAGGAATCATATTTAAAGTCTAATGTTAATCTGTCCTCCTGGCCAGGTAATACCAACCATAATTAATGCTAGATGAAACTCTTTTGGTACTAAGTAATGACAGTCTCAGTCATTTAGTGTGACAGATAAGCTTTGGACTTTCACTCTTAGCTATACCACAAAGTTCCATTACAGTGTTTGATGAGAACAAATGAAATTAAAACACCATCACTGTATTTTAGGTTTTGCTAGCCTGCTGCAACTGGGTTTGAAACGTCTGGGGACTTTTCTGCTTGGCTGTTGATTAAAATCATAACCTTTTCCCAAAGTGCTATTTGATCACAGAAATAAACCGTTCTTTCCTCTTCAGAGTTGTAGCTAAACCACTGCTTGGAGTATAAAATGCTAATATGTAGTTACTGATACAGGTGATCTGAGAGGCAAGAGTAACACTGAATATTCCTACAACAACCTCTTAAGGATTTGTGAAGTCCAGATCTTTAGCTGCATTTGTTCATTATGTCCACTGACGTTTTCCACTGTCTTTACAATTAAAATATTCTAGGAACAATGCACATTAATCTTCCAGCTGTATGTACTTGGAATATTTGCTTACATGCATATATATACTTATTTTTTTTCTCAATCTGTCTTTCTAGTTTTATAAATCATAAAAATTCTGTTCCTTAGTGATTCCTATGAAACTTCTCTATCCCTTATTTGTTTCTCTTGCTCTAACGTAAGAAAATACCCCAGATCGATGCATTTTGACCAATAAGTTAGCTACTTCTGCTTATGAATATATCCAGGAAGACAATTTATTTGGCAAGAATACCTTTTTTTGCAAGTTGAGTGCTTTGAGAACCTGGCTATGATTAAAGCTGTCTCTGGAGCACATCAGAAGTGTTTTTAACACAGTCCACAGATCAGAGAAAAATGGTGTCTCACTCTGAACAATGATTGTGAATTTGGGAATCAGCTAAGAGTTTAGAGATTATTTAGCGAGTAATTAGTAATTATCATTTTGTGTCCTATCAGGTGGAAATCCTTGATTGGAAGACAAAGAAACAGCTATGCTTCCTAGATAAGGTAAAACAAAAATCTGTTTAAAATGCTAGGTGACTATTTAAAAATTACTAACTTTTCTTAAGTAAACTTGGTGTTTATGAAGGGTGTTTCATCTCCTGGTAGCCTTTCTTTGAGCACTGAAGAGGCAAAGATTATGCACACTTTGTACTGACTACAGAGTACTTCAACCATTTTCCAGAAGGAGCTTTTGGGCAAAGAGCACAACTTTAACTGTTTCACTAAGACAGTGCCAGCTGTGTCTTACTCATAAGCCATCAGACTGTCACTGCTGTTGTAGTAACTCTTGATCACTGCTAGAGAAGCTGCCTCTAAAACAGGTGTCATAACTTGTCCTCCCTTTTTCCTGTAAGTACGTTGAATCACCCATACCACTCCTAGCCATCTGTAAGAAAGTTATACTGTTATATCGCTTGAGTCACATTTCTACTTGAATAGTCTTACACCTAGTAGCTGTCTTTCAAATGTGTGTCTCACATATGCAATATTTTTTGTTGCCTAGGTGGAACCAAATGCCACAATTAGGGAGATCAGATTGATGTTCCATAAATTATGTGAGTATAACTTTTGCAGCAGTTCATATCACATCAGAATATCCAGTGGATAAATAGGAGAAAATTACAGAATTTGAAACATGTGATATACACACACATAATGCTAAGTAACCTGCACATGAATGCAATCACAGTGAGCTTTCAGTATCATTTTATTATACTATCTTGATGCACCTTTGTAATTTTTATGCTGCGTAATTTCTCACAGATATTCATGTTGAATAAATATTCCTCCAAATCTTTAGCTAAATCTTATCTTGTTGTGTTGCATTCATTATAACAGTGGATGATCTAAAACAAATGTTGTATATCACACAATTCTGTATGATCTTACAGATCCTCAGTGGTATCCAGCAAGGCAGTCGATAAAACTTGATCCAAGTAAGTACTTGTGAGGACTAGAGTAACAAAGCTCTGAGCAGGAGCCTGGCATAAAAGGTGTACTTTGCATGAGTATGAGCTCTTAAGAATGAGTTTCCAGCTATGTTAATTAGCACTACGAAGGCCGAAGAGAATCCAGAACAAATTTAATTCTTTGAAGGTATTGAACAGAGTTCCACCCATGTGCCTGGTGCTTGGTAGTTAACTCAGGAGTTTGCACGTTGTTCCAATGCACTTTTTAACTACTAAGCACTTTTGCTTTCCAGACAGGCAGCACAGAATCTAGGTACTACTTTCCCTTAGCTGCAGTGAAATGATCTCCACAGTGAAGCCCAGCTGGGAGTACTAAAAAGGGCGTTAGAGTTAGAGCTATCAGTTCACATAATCCTCTGCTCTCAGGCAGGAATTGCAGTTCTTTTGAGGTAGCTAATGCAAAACACATTGCCATGGATGTAGGATTTGCTGACAAAGCTGATGCCAGCTGGCTGACTTCATTAACGCAGTTGTAGGTATAGCTACTAGAAGCCTCTTAGTACATGGCCTGGGTGCACAAAAGAAAGTCTAATTACCAACCTGTGTTAATTCATCTTAGCATTTAGTATATAAAATGTAGCACTTTCTTCTTTTGCTTCCATTAAGCATAATTTTATTTAAACAGTCTCTTAAAAGTATGCCAGTGAAGAGTAGTTCATTGTGTAGAATATATCCATGGAAAACAGGCGTATGTGTATCTTACTTCCTTCTTCAAAGATCCACCTTGTCAGATTCCTCCATGGACTTATGTTATGAGACTTCCCATGTGAAAATGCTCACTTTCTGGAAATTTCCCCAAACCTAGGCATTAAAAGCTTGAGTACTAGCTCAAGTCCTAGTGGATCACCTCCTAGCTGGTTGGTTGGGAAAAAAAGGAGGCGACGAAAACCTCTGCAGGAAAGCCTTCCGTCCTCAGCTTATCCTAGCTTCCGTTTGTCTGATGATGAGCGATGAGAAGAGAGGAAGAGAGAGGAGAGAGATGGAGATGCAACTGATTAGGAGGTCAGTGAGCTGTGTTAAAGGGCAGTGACCCATCAGCAAATTCTGCTGTAGTAGTGATGAAGCAAGTCTACTAGACTAGGCAGGCACATAGGATTGAGAATTCTCCTAACTGTCTTGGTGTGAATAGAGGATCCAGGCATATATGTGATTACCAGGATAAATCAAAATTAAGTAGAAACATTGTTAGTTTGTTTATTGAGATTCCAATAAACCCACGTCATGTCAAAGAAGCTCACAGATTGGTTAAAGCACAATCTAAAGCTAATACGCTACCAAAGTTGACTTGAATTTCACTGAGATGTAATTACTTCTTTCCTTCTCAGAAGGAAAGTCCCTGAGGGATGAGGAAATCCTGCAGCACCTCCCTGTTGGCACAACTGCTACCTTATACTTTAAAGATTTAGGGCCACAGATAGGATGGACTACGGTGAGCTATGCTTCAAGTCTGCCGTTTTAATGGCTATTTTCCATAATTATTCCTTACATCACTTTTTGTCTCTCTCCAGTATTTCTGCATGATGCCTGCTCTGATAGTGGATGCAGGCAACAAATCCTCATTGCTTCAGTTCATTTAATCAGGGAAAGTAGCAACAGGATATTTTGAATGCCTCGTTCCCTGGGAGAGCAGCAGTGGAAAACGTGCTGCAGGGTTGGCTGGCTCTACTGAACTAAGGTGCAGGTTCTCAAATGGATTTAGATGTCTACTGCAAAATCACTAGGAACTAGGTGTCTAAACGCCTTTGAGGATCTGCTTCACAGGGCCTGCGTGTATCCTAAGAAAGATCAGGATTATACTCCTACGAGTTTGTCCTGCAAAGAGGCATGTGAGCAGCTTGGGTAATGACAGCTGATGATTTCTGCTATATTAGTAACCATCCACAAAGGCCTTGCATATTTACTGTCTTAGCTCAGATACAAATTCTGTCACAAACGCTCTCATCAGGCAACCAGCACTGCTGTTTATGCAGTGAGGTGACCAATGACCCTTCCAGTTCTTCATAAGGTCCGTGACACACTAGTTCTAATGAAACAGCACAGCATGAAGGGAAAAGTACCTCGTAATTTAAAGGCACATTTACCATTTCTTAGCTATGAGACATTAATGAAATCTTGTGTTAATGACAAATAGCAAAGACTACATTCATAGGAGGTAAAATTTAAAAAGTCAAATGTTCTGCAAGACCGTATCTTCACATCATTACTTTGGATGCAGTGCTGACAAATCAGGCAGCTATTACGCGATCCAAAAAACAGTAAGACAGGCAAAACCTCCTAATGACAGTGTAGGCTCCAAGACACACATGCATTAGTGTATACCAAAATATCACAGTGCAGAGTAACACCAGACTTCTGCCATTCCATAATCTTTCCTTTACATTCTGCTCTCCCTGCCCTTCAAGCTGCTTAATTCAAATGTAAGCCAAGAAATACTTCAGTTTTATCGAAAAAGACAAACTTCTCACCTACAATCAAATCCAATCTTTGCCAGAGGAAATGCTGATTGATACAGAAGTCGATAACACAACTTTTCTGAGTGTCAAAATAACTATAAACACATTAGAAAACTGTAGTTGGGTTTTGTTGGTTTTTTTTTGACAGAAGTACAATCAAATTCTCTTCCTTTTCCATAAACGAGGTATGAGCCTACCTTCCTCACTTACAGAAGTGTGGAAAATTCAACTGTTACTGTTTAGTCCAAAGTTAACTTCAATTTAAAGTGATGTCCCTAAGAAATGCACATCTATCCAAAATGACATCAAGTTAGATAATTGCTTCTTTGGTTTCCTCTCATTTTTTTAATTATTTTTTTTCTCTTTGTGTTCAATTTAAAGATTGTTTGAACAGATAACAAATTTATTGTTTCCCAGGACATCTGCTGTGCTAACTGTTCATACAGATGGGGTCACCTGTGAACACTTACAAGCTGTGTTTCAGTGTAAACAAAATTCATTCATTAGAAATAAAGCTCCTTTTTTCCAAGATAAATTCTTCACCAAATTTCATTTTAACCCGAAATAAAGCCACAGTTTTTGAGGGCAAGAGGAGGGTGAGAGCTGTGTAAATGTAACATGCATGCTATTTATCATGATCTCTGGGCTGCCACTGTTATCTTTTCATACCCATACTGTGTCAGCTGTACCGGCAATGGCTGTTTGTATGCAGCTGAGGCAAATGCATTGCAAAACATTTATGTGCATGTCTACCAGTTTCATCACCCAAACCCAAAAACTGCTGTTCCCTCCCTGCCTTTCTAAAATGTCATCCTGGGTCAGTGGAGGTGTTCATCCCACTGCATTAGTTATCACAAAGAAACCAAAGCAAAACCATCACCTAATTCAGCTGTCTAATTATTTTCTCTCTTTTTGCAGGTATTTTTGATAGAATATACAGGTCCATTGTTCATCTATTTTCTGTTTTATTTCCGCATGCCTTTTGTCTATGGACTGGATGAGAGGTTTACATCAAGCCCGCATCCAGTAGTTAAGTAAGTCCGTTTGCAGGCTTGAGCAGTATTTCTTGTTAGCATTGTAGTCTTATTCCAAATGTCTTGCCACACTTGTTCTTTTAAGCACTCTTAAATGCTTTTGTCTTGCTGTTTCTAGCTTGGCATGTATCTGCCATTCTTTCCACTACATCAAAAGGTTGATTGAAACAGTATTTGTTCATCGGTTCTCCCATGGGACTATGCCACTGAGGAATATTGTGAAGGTAAATTGTGTCAGAATCTATCCATAGCTCCCCTTACAAAGCCAACCAAGCCAACCTATGCTCTGCCCCTGCAGCCAGATTTTTTTGGTGTGGCTTTTGTAGTAATACACAGCAAATCTCTGTAGTTCTTTCAGAAGATTTCTTAATGTCGCTGTTGTATAACCCACATGTTGCCATACTGTTATTCATGCTATAGTAGTCTCATTGCTCTTTTATAACTTTAAACCTTCAGCATACCATTTCTTTTCACTCAGCTAGCTCCTTGGGTGTTAAGGGTTTAGTAACAATGTTAACTGTTAAGGTAGCACAGGCAGGCACAATGTTGGGAGGGTTGCGCTTTTTTAAAAAAGATCTACTTTTTCTAACAGTCATTTTACATCTTCTTTGCCCCTAACACTCTATTGGCTGTTAAGCAACTGTTAATCTAGCACAGAGTAGCTTGGTTGTTCTGCATTTTCTTCTCCCGCAGGAGCACTCCCTAACGTTACCACTGCTGCTGTGGCACAGGGCAGCTGTTGAGATGCAGACCCCCTGTTTCCTAGATGTCTGTGAAGCGGTAGACTGGACTGCACGGTTATGCATGGGCTGTAGTTATTTTACAAGTGTTTGCAGCAGAGTACACACTGGTATTCAAAAATACGCTTTATACTCAGGAAGACAGGAGATTATGATTTACAACTGGAAAAGCGTATAGTATAGTATCAGCATTTGGGTATTTAACATTTGGTATTTAGACACCCCTCGGAATTTGCATTATGGCAGTGATACTCCCAGCAGCTGAAGCTCTGCCTTGTGGCTAACTTCTTACAGCTGTACAGTGGCTCTGGTGGTCCTGGCGATAGCATCATGCTTTCTAAATGGAAGGAGGGTCTGTAGTGGAGCAGTGGCCCTCAGAAAAAAAGTGCTCCTAAGCAATTTACTGTGTTTTCTGCAGTAGAAGAGTACAGGGGTTGTTAAAAGGCTAGCAGATGTCTTAAAGACTTGTTCTTGACACAGTAGTAGCTAATGCATGCTAAACAGCAGATAAATGAGCAACTTTACCTTGAAAAAGTATCTGTACAGTGTGATAAATCTTCATTTTCTCACTGCCATCTCTGACAACTACTCGTTCCTTTCAGAGCATACAAACTGTTGTTGCTAAAATTGACATTTGTACCAGTCCTTCTGATCACTTCTGCTTTTCCATCTTCTCAGGTTGGTGGTACTTGCTTTCATCTGTAAAGGTGCTCACAGTTCTTCTACCTGCTTAGCAGTCCTTGGGTTTGATTTGCTTTTATAACTTCATTGACTTTGGTGGTGTTACTCCAAAGTTGTGCCAGTGAGAAAAATACCACATCCTCTTCCCTTTTTTCTCTCTCACGCACAGAGAGTAGGCAGTTTCTTACTTGAAGTGTTTGATCACATACACAGCAGATACAGATAGCTTATCTCCTAAGGGCAATGGAAAGCTATGTCTCAATAAGCAGAGATCTGAGACAGAAATTGATGAGATTTGTGATTTTCGTCTTTTGTTTACCAAATGGAAATAGGAATAAATGATGCCGCAGGAGCGCTTCACCAAAAGCAGTTCATGCTATATACTAACATAGTGTAACTCTTTCTAAAGATAAGTACTTTTTCTTGGCAGTGGAAAGGTAGAATACCTGATTTATCTGGACTTAGTAAACAACTGGCTCAGAGTGAACAAGATAGGGATTAATACAAAAAATGTGTGGTGATAAAGGAACTAACTAAAGGAAAGATGATTGTGGTTGTGCCAGAAAAGGATCTGTCAGACCTTTAATAATAGGGAGGTGCCAGTGGAATTCCTCAAAGGTTACTCTTATGACTGGTCTTACTGAACATTTTAATGGGTAAAAAGAAGGGATATTGTTGCTTTCTATAAAAACATCTGGAGGAAATAAAACACTAAACCTAAAGAAATACCATTTAAACCAGAAGACAATATAATAAGACAAACAGAAGGGTACATACTAGTCATGAATAAACGTAGGCAAGGCATTAAGGAATAGTTTTGATCATCACAGAGATCATCAACTGAAGAAGTAAAAAATCCTAACCATAACTTTGTAAACTTAGCAATAATTTGTTTGTGGGATCCCTGCAATAGCTGAATTTTTCTTGTAAGATCTTTTTGTAAGAGATTGTTGCAAAGTTTTATTATTCACCTGGAATATGAAAGATTCACAGAAACAATTTCTTTCCTTCAAGTGAGTTCATGAAGTCTGCATGTACTCTGCTGTTCTTATCTGAACCTCACTGGAGGCTTTTGTGTGAGCAATAAGGCTTCTAGTGGCAGCTGGACATTTGTAGTCTTACCACTAAGGACCTTAGCAGTGACACACTCCACTCATCTTAAGGTTCCTTTTCTTATAACTGAGGAATACTCTTGCAGTAAATCATGTTCTTTGGATGAATAGTACTTGTTCCATTTAATTACAGCATGTATTGCTGGGAGCTGAGCCATAGCAATTTATTTATTTTATTTTATTTTACTGAAATCCATTGCCATATGATCCATCCTGTGCCAAGCCCCAAAGTTAGGGAAATGTTTTTCATAAGGTGCCATTCCAAGATTACAAGAAACTGTTTCCACCGAAGTTTGTACAGCAGCACAAGGAAGAAGCTAGTGTTAGGGAGGAAGCAGTAGTTTATGGATAGGATGCTAACTAGATTGTTCCTCACTGGAGTCCTCCTTCTTGTTCTGCTGCTTTTCCTGTGGAAGAGGGAAGTTGTCACAGGGGAGTTACTTAATCTCTCTGCTATTTTGTCCCACCTGATCTGTAATTATTGGTTAATATTTTGCTCTTTCTCATCAGTTATCTATTAATATATAATCTCAGAGCAAGGACATACTATGTGCTTGTATTACAGCATACCCAAAAGGATGTCTGTTTTGTCTGAGGTCTCTGGGCACTTCAGTGGTTCAGTTAACTCTGAAAAGAAAGAGGAAATGCAACAGAACGTTTGATACAGTTGTTTGCAGCAGATGGGGGGGGCTTACCCCTCACCAGCATCATCAGACACTGCAGTCAGCTAGCGTGGGTTGCAGATGCTGAGGTAATCACTTTTCGGGGTATTATTGCTAGAAATGCAGTTCTGGTATACAAAGGGGAAAAAGGCCACAAAATTCAAAGCCAAAAAAAGAGAAAAGTTAAACCAGTCAGGATAGGAAGGAATGCAGCCTTGGACAAGAATTTTAGCTGCATGAGCAGGAAAGCTACGAAGGAGAAAGCAGAAAGACCTAAAAAGTCTAAGGTATGTGAACCTATTGGAAAGTAAAGAAAAAAGCATCACCAGGAAGAGCAGGAGGATCAGGGTTTTATTCAAGAGGGAAAACAGGAGGGAAGGAAATATAAGGGGAAGGAAAAGAAGAGGAAAGTAGTGAAAGAAAGATAAAGAGCTCAGTTTTGGTCTTACTGAAGTCCAAGTGATAACCAAACATGCCCTAAAACATTAAGAATGGAGGCACTAGGTTTGATAAAGGAAGAAATCTCAACTGATGAGAGGCAAATTTATGAGTTATCGACAAGGGTTAAAGTCTGTGTGCAAGAGAATGGCACCTAGATGTGAGAGCACAGAGGAAGAAGAGGAATGGGCTAAGAAAGGGCCTCCCTCCTACCTACAGATATCTGAGGAGGAAGAAGATAACCTGTCACCGAGATACTGAAGCAGCAATGCGCGTCAGAAGAAAAACCACAAGAGGCAGGGCCAGGAAAACCAAACGAGAGTAGAAATTGTCATTGTAAGTAGCTTTTTTTCATGGATGAAGCCTGTGAACAAGCTCTGAGATTGGTCAGGTATGAGTCAGTGTGCTGGTTTTGGCTGGGATTTTCTTCACAGTAGCTAGTATGAGACTATTTTTTTAACTTGTGCTGAAAACAGTGTTGATCACACAGGGATGTTTTAGTTATTGCTGAGCAGTGCTTACACAGAGTCAAGGCCTTTTCTGCTCCTCATCCCCCCCCAAGACCAGGTTGGACAGGGCTCTGAGCAACCTGATCTAGTTAGTGGTGTCCCTGCTCGCTGCGGAGGGATTGGACTAGATGACCTCTAGGGGTCCCTTCCAACCCAAAACTTTCTATGATTCTATGATTCTATGATATTCCATAACATACAGTGTCATGCTCAGCATATAAAGTGGGGGTAACAAGGAGGAAGGGGGCACATTCAGAGTGATGGCGTTTGTCTTCCCAAGTAACCGTTACGTGTGATGGAGCCCTGCTTCCCTGGAGATGGCTGAGCACCTGCCTGCCAGTGGGAAGCAGCAAATGAATTCCTTGTTTTGCTTTGCTTGCATGCACAGCTTTTGCTTTACCTATTAAACTGTCTTTACCTCAACCCACGAGTTTTCTCACTTTTACCCTTCTCTCCCCCATCCCATTGTAAGCGGAGTGAGTGAGCGGCTGTGTGGTGCTTAGTTGCTGGCTGAGGTTAATCCACGACAGTCAGTACAGCCATTAGTGACAGCTATGTTATCAAGAGGTTAGAGAACAGAAGCTGGACTACAGAAAGCCAAGGACAGCAGCAAAAGGGACAAACTAAAGATATCGCAGTGAAAGGGCAGAGGAAATTGTCAGGCATGATGACCTCAGGTAGAAAAAGTTAAAGCATGGGAAAGAAAGAAAACTGATAAGGTGAAGGAGAAGAGGAAAGGCAAGAGATTGGGCAATACAAAGGAATAAGCAGGGAAGGGAACACAGGGCCTAAATCTGGTTTTACAAAGTCTCAGTGTTAGCAGAACAAGTCTCTCTTTAACATATAGTCTGTATGGCACTTCATCTTTGGCCAAATGGCTTGCCAGACAAGATAAATTTGTTTTCAATAGTATAATCATGCTTTCTAAAACTGTTTATAAACATGACAGCTCCCAGATATTTGAGAGGAAATCTTACTCTATGAGCAATACTTCCTTCCTGTTGTTTCCTGTTAACTGCTCCCACCTTACCACACTAAGTATTGTCATTTTTTGTTGTATTATCGGCAACTTGAAGGATCAGCCCAATTCATTGTTATCAGCGGTCCTTGCAGTGAATACTGGCCTAGAGGATTGTACTAAAACACAGAAAAATTCCCTGTTTTTCAGAACTGCTTGTATTACTGGGGATTTGCAGCTTGGCTTGCTTATTACATCAATCATCCTCTTTACACTCCTCCTTGTAAGTAGCAAAACAACCCTTAATATGATTTAAGTACTTACCTGTTTGTATATTAATACTAATCACATGTAAACTTTTTTTTATAGCTTATGGGAAAAAACAGATAAATTTTGCTGTGATCATGTTTCTGGTAGGTTTGTTGCTCTTTTTATAAAATGCTAAATCATGTTGCTTTATTTCTTATGTTGTATAAATGGAGGAGTAAGTAGGATAATAGATACTGAGAACCTGAACACTTGGGACATGCTAATAAAGCTGATCACCTGCATCCAGAACAGATAAATCTGCCAGTTTTTAATGTGATCTTGTACACAAGGGAAGATTTTGATTCAGTATCCATTCCAAGACTGGGATATTTATCTGCTGGGATGATCTCTCATGATCTTTAAAAGAAGCCTGGAACTACCAGCTTATGACACTGTGCTTAAAAACCAGTGAGTTTGTTTTGTGTACTGTTTATTGAGTGTTAAGAATCACCAGAGATCATAAAACTCAGAGAACTGGCCAACTAAGAAAGTATGTTGCTGGTAATTTCGAGGGATAGAGGTTCATTTTGCTGGGATTCAGAAATTTTTTACAGCTTTCCTTATGATGCAAAATTCTTAAGCCACTGTCTGTTCATTCTCACAGTTCCTAGGAATATTTCATACACGCAGAAGCAATGTTAGCGTAGCCAACAAAGATGTACTCATCCTTCCTATGCATGCATAACTTGTTTAGAACATCAGCTGTTCTCTTGCTTTGAGAAACTAATCGTCAGTGACTGCAGGATGTCAAAGCAGCTTCCCAGTATGAAAATTCTAGGAGTTCATAATCTATTCCCATTTTATAGAGAGACTATGTAACTGAAAGCACAGAGCTGGGAATAAAACTCAGGAGCTCTGACCACCAGTCATTTGCTTTAATAGTTGTGTTTTGCAGACACTGGAGACTGTCCATGATCATATAAATGAGTCATTTCAATACACTTTCTGCATAATTGATTGGGGAAGCATTATTTAAAACCAGTAGAGGAAGCTGGGTCGATTATATTTCATGATTCTTTTCAATTATACTCGAGAAGAAAACTTTCTTAAATTCCAACCTGTATCTTCCTTGGGATTTTAATAACTTCTGAGAAACCAAAACCATCCAAAACAATTCTTTGGGTGTTTATAAAGACATAAGAATAACCAAAAGATTTGGTTTACTTTTATCCCCTTTGATTTATTGCCTTTATATCTCATGGGGATTATATAAGTAGCAAATTTGATCTTTTGGACACTGAGTCCACATTTGCTGGCAAATATATAATATATAGAATAATAAATATATAACAGTATAATACGCACTCGTGTTTGAACAAAGATATTCCATCCGCTTGTCAGACAGCAATCTTGGTTAAGAATATTTATTATGTTTATAATAGATTCTTTTTTTCCCCTCTTGTTTTTTTGAAGTATCCCAGGAAACAACAAAAGAAAGACAAGTAAATAGAAAGGAAGCACATTTTTAACTGCCATGCTTTTTCTTGCAGCTGTGTGAAGCTGGAAATTTTTCCATTCATGTTGCACTCAGTGACCTCCGGAGAAATGGTAAAAATTGCATTATCATTTTTGACTTTTGCACAGCCATTCAGTGCTTCTACAGTTACTCTACCTCATGAAAGACCTGATCCTGGAGGGCACTGATATCTGCCAGCTGACTGCTGCAGGAGCGCAGGTTGCTCAGCAGTGTAAAGACTGGATTCTAGGGGAGATCAGACAGCTCAAGGAATCCAACACCAAACTGTTAAACAGCACTTTGTATCTTACTGTAATTTTTATGAGTTAGGGCCAGGTTGTGTTGGGGGGAGCAGTTATATTAGTTATACTGGTAGTGCAAAAGGAAACAGTGCTAGTATAAGCTATGCTTGGTGAGTAAAGGAAAGCAATTTCACTGGCTTCTGCAGGGGACACGATCTCTGTGCAGGCCAGAGTTCCTTGGGCACAAGCCAAACATCTTATAGCTATCAACTATGACTGCTAAAATCCCATTCTGTGACAATCTGAGAAAACCTTTAACTTCTAAACATAAAACTTGAGGTACCTTTTCCTACAGGAATGACTATGATCAAAAGCATATGTACATGACTTTCTAACGCCCAGAACATTTCCTCACAGTTATGCTATTCCTTCTTGTGGGTCCAGAGGACATCCTGTTTTCCCAGATCCTGCTTGTCCCTCTGACAGTGATGAGAAACAGGAGTAGGCAGAGTTGGGCTGTCTTTATAGGAAACAATGTATGTAGGAGTGTGAATATTTTGTGATTTGTTTTCTAATCTATAGGATCCAAAACCCGTAAGATCCCATATCCAACAAAGAATCCTTTCACATGGCTGTTTTTCTTTGTATCTTGCCCTAACTATACATATGAGGTATGTATTTTCAAACAAGATGTTCAGATTCTAGTTTCGATAAATATATTTTAATTTCATTTGGAATGTTAAACATCTAAGAAACCTCTGAAACAGTTCAGCTCAATACATTTCCCCTTCTCCCCTCAGTCCCATGAAATCAGATTGCAGACAGGAATCCAGATTGCCTCCGTTGAGGCAGTGCTTGTGGGGCTAACCTTAAACAGCTGGCCCAGAGCCTCGGCCTGTGCCTCCATGTGGCTGCTAGACGAGACAGGTACACTTTAAAGCAGCGCAAATTTCGCAGACAGGAACAGGGAGATTGCCATTGAATGTGTGTTGCAATGAGAGAATGGGGGCACCTGGTGGATTTGTAATATAAGAGAGCCCAGGAATATCACAGTACACAGGGAGATAGTGGGCAGATGAATAGAAGACACTGTGGTAGAGAAAATGGGGCAATAGATGAATAGAAGATATCATGGTAGAGAACATAGGCCCAGGTCTTCTTCCCGATTTTCTTAAGTTACACAGTCGCTCGTGTAGGTAGTGACTGCTTTAGGAGCTCGAATCAGTTTATCGCTTCATATTCCTTAATCAGGAGCTAAACTCCTGACTCAGTTCAAAAGCAGTTAAAACCAGTGCAACTCAGTGTAAAATTCACTCTTGCACAGAAGGACAGCATTAGGTTTTAACTTCAGTGGAGATTAACAGATGTTAATGAGAACAGGCTTTGGCCTCAGATTACAGAAAGTTACCACTCCCAGCACTGATGGAGGTGTGACAAATACAATGGCAAGGACACCACGTTTTAATGCCTAAAATTTTGTTGTGATAATAGCTATGGAAGCAAATGCAAAGGTTTTGTTTGTGATAATACGGCACTGTTCACCTTTTTGGCTAAAGGTTATTAACACTAGAAATTGATCTGGCTGACCTTGGCTTTTTTATTTACCTACACTAGGACAAGGTTGTTTTTGATCAATAGAGACATAAATGCAAATGGTGTCACCAGAAATATTTAAAATTTCCTTGGCCAAAACAGGTGGGGACCTGGATCAGTTTCACTATCATGACTCAGTGTGTTCCAGGTGAGTAATGTTTTGGTACTTCACCTGTCAGCAACAGAAGTGTGTTTTTAGTCTGGTAATGAAACATATCTTTTTCTCCCTTCTTTCCAGTGGGGCTGTTCACCTTGCTTTGCTTCATTCAGATGACAATCTGGGCAAAGGATAAACACTGCACCTACCTGCGAGAATTCAAGGATTATCCAAGTCTTCGAATGCCAATTATTCCCTTTTTGTTGTAAGAAAAAAAGGTTTAATTTGAATATTGCACGGAACTTCAAGAGGAAAAAGCTCATAAGCCTCCTGCCAAATAAGTGAATTAATTTAAAGGATTTTTGTGCATGTTGAATCTCCACTGCTGAGGGAAATTGTATGTACTTGAAAGCTACGTTTCCTTACATTCAAGAATTCTCAACTCAGAAGCACCTTCAAAAAATAAGACTTTGTTGCACAGCTGGTAGTCAAAAGCCCCTACAGTTCATTGTAACCTGATTGACTTAGATTTTCCTGTACTAGTCTATTTAGATTGATGGATCAGAGATACTGAGAAGTCTGTGCTGAAAAGCAGCTCCAAATTTAGCAGTGGCATTCTGCAAGACATAAGTACATCGGAACGAGGACATACCAGCTAACTACTAGAGAGCTCAGCTCAGTCAGCACGGCCAGCTGGCCTGCAGACAGTTGCATGATCTGGCTTCTCTGACTTGAAGAAGAGAGTGTGCTGCCTGGAGGCAGGTGCTTTGTAACAAATAACATTACCAAAGAATATGAATGGTTGCTGGAATAAAGAAATAGGCAATATCTCAAATAGCTGATTTGGGTCTAACCCCTAATTTGCCAAAACAATCTGAAGAAAGAAGTATTTGTAGTATTTGTGGATGTAACATCCTGCATTGTTGGGTTTTTTGTTTGTTTTTATTCTTCATTAGTAAATTGCATACTAGTAAATAAGGTTGAGAAGATCTGATCTATGCTATATCTGTGATGTTTGGCCTGTTTTCATATAACAAGTCCTTATGATACTAAAGGACCTTTTACCTAGCATTTTATGTTAGCGTTCTTGGAATAATTTTTAATACACTTTGTAAATACATGAAATGACTGCTAGTCCTCAGAATGCTAGCACCCTTCCTATTTTCAGAGCCAGGGAGAAAAATCAGCTACATTTTGGACTTCCTGTGTTTTCTTTCTCACAAGATGTTCAGTGAGACTTAGTTGGGTTTTGTGCAAATCTAGTAAAAAAAGACTATTGCAATCTATCTGAATGGCATTTTAAGGAAGCTCTTTTAGAATATGAAGAGAATGCATAGATACTGTTTTGTTTCATGATTAATTTATTTCTCTGTAATGGATGTATAGAAAGATTTTTGCAACTGTTTGAAATATGCAATATATTCTAGACTATATTTTTAAATCAGTTGAAATAATTATGGCAAAAGAAGACGACTACAGCTGTTTGCTGAAGTTTGTAATATTTTGTACAGTAAAAAGCAAGGATGTCCTTGTATAAAAAAACCCCACATCAATTGAAGAAAAAAACCTAACAAAGCAAAAATACATGACTCAGATTTTGTTTCTGTATAACACATCTTAGAGAAGATTTGTTAGAAATGGTTAGATCTGGTGGGTAACCGAAGCAATACATCGTTATGAATTTGTTTTCAGTATTGTTATTTTCTGCTAGTTTAACTGTGAACCAGAGAAGAGAGCTAAATGTCAAATGATTTCCCACTGAGTACTGTGTGGAGTACAAGAAGGTTGATATTTTCCTTCTGAGCGCAGAGAAAGCACATACCCTATTCACACTTTACACCCACTTAAGGTCCAGTCACAGGAAATTTGATCTTGTTTAGTAACAAAGATATCTTTCCAGGCCTCCATAAGAAAACAAAACTTTTGGCAGAGTTGGACATACTCTCCTTCCTTTTGATCTCCGTTCTGACATGCCGCTTCTACTTGAGAAACCTGAAGATGAGCATGAGATAATTTTCATTAATATTTTTCTTTTTGTAAAGCAAATTTCTTGCCTGGGTCTGAGATCTGAATTATTGCTTCTCATTCTTGCTGAGTCAACCATCTGTCTTCACTGGCAGCCTGGTGAGACAGTGAAGCAGTCTCCCAGCACTAGCCCCATCAGCCAGCACTGGTGTTCTGACCTTGGTAGTCATGTGCACTCAGGATGTCAGGAATCTGCTTCTACGCTGGGCAATGCTCTCTGTCTTGGGACCTGTCTGCTGGCTGGCAGCAGCTGACTTAAGAGTTAAACAAGAAAATCCTACCAGCCTAAAAGGACCAGATAGAGAAACTATCTTTGGTGCTCTTTGCATGTCAACAAGGAGGAATGAGACTTCTCTTCTTGTATCTTATAATGAACTTATGTTAGAGGAAGATTTTGTTTTATAGCAAGGACCTGCCTTTCCTTTAATACTTTCAGCACATAGCGTTCTTGGTAGAGCAGTAGAAGTCGGCTGTTGCTATGGCTATTGCTGTTGTGAGCACAGTGCTCAGAAAGATGCAAAAAACATCAGTATAATACTGAGAGTAGGAACCTTTGTTTTACCCTTGTACTGCTCTGGTATGGCACATCTTTGCACTGTGCACACTCTAAGCGCTAGTGACTGTAGGAATAGTCTATGCAACTGCCTGCTGATGCAACGCAGGGGACACCTTTGCTTCTCGGCTGGCTCCAGCTGCACGGGGATGCAAAGCAATTTCGTCATCCTCCATCTGCTGTTTAGCAAAGTTCACAAAAACCTGTGTGAGGAAAGCAGAAAATGTCACCATCTCATCAGCTGAGATGAGTTAGTGGAATGTCTCTGTACATTTGCATCCTCTTGGCCTCTCTGCAGGGAAGAGACAGAAAGGGGAATCCATAGACATGAACTGAACTGAGATGCTGTGCATCAGCAGCGATCATTAATTCCTTCTTTATTTTGATAAACTTCCTTGCAACTTCGTTCCTTTGGATGCACTTACTTGCAACTAAAATGCTATTTTTTCTTACGCAGGAGATGGTTTCAGCAAGGTTTACACAACGTAAGTGAGTTTGGTTGTGATAGGAAAGATAATATTTTAGTCGGTAGCTGTAAGGCAGCCAGGAATGTCTCTCTAGCAAAGACAGCTTTGCATATGTGGACCCTCAGCTACTTAGGAAAGCAGGCAGATGGGGCTGATACCCTCTAGCAAGTCAGTGCTGCCAACGGTCCCAGGGGACTTTCCAGGTTTTGTGTGTCTAATTGTTCTTGTATAAAAGTACATGACAGAGACTTATAAACATTTAACTAGATATTACAGTATCTCTGTTGTTATGACACAACGCAGTCCAAATCTCTTATTTAAAATAAAACGTTATTCCCAGCTTAGCAAGTCTCATTCTGAATAGCTGACTTTGGTCAGAGTGCTGCTCCTGAAGGAATGGGCTGTGTGAATTCTGGCGTCTGAGAAACTCTTACCAGCTTTCAAATGGCACCTATTTACACAGGGAATTAGTTACAGATTTCATATCTGATCCACCCTCCTTGATAAGGGGTCTGGGAATTTTGCCTGGGAAAGAGGTGTGAGATAATTCCCTACTCTGAACAGTCTGGTCCTTCAGTTGTTTGGATACATCCCCATTCCATTGCCTAATTCTCACCAGACAGGCTTTCTCATGGATACTTTGTTTTTCACTCACAGAATCACAGAATCACAGAATGGTAGGGGTTGGAAGGGACCTCTGTGGGTCATCTAGTCCAACCTCCCTACTCACCTGATCTAAGGTTGTTTGAGACACAGAATATTCTTCAATATGCAAGTTTTCCTTATTGGAGATTATTAACCGAAAAATCTTAGCCAGAGAGGAGGAGCAAATCTGATACTGCAGCATGTTGTAGTGTTTCTCTCTCTGTAAACTCCCTGGGAAGTTCACGTGTATGAATTGCTCGGCAGGAGTAGGATCTGGAGGCATGCCACACTTTGGAGCTTTGATTTTCAGAGTGACAATGTAGCCATCTCCAAACCTGGGAAGCACATGTGGATTTGGGAATTGGATGAAGAGATGGTTTCATTATTCAGGAAGGAAATTCATTTTCAGCAGCTATGAAAACATTAACAGTATGTGAAAGACAATGCATAAGATCTAGCTTTGTAGGAAGCTCTGTATTTGCCCTGCAGAAGTGGTGTGCAGCACAACAGTTGAAATGAGGTCTGCTCAAATTGTCTACGATACACCCTTCTGAGTTGCACCTAGAAATGGGTCTGTTTAAACAACAGCTCTTCAGACTGGATTGCTGTATTTAGAATGGTACATGTCACATACACTAAGTTTTCCCATTAAAAAAAATCATAAAAATACTCTACTTACTTGTATTTTAGCTGCTGAATTGTGCCCAGACATTTGAAGGTACCTTTTACCATGATGGCTAAACGAGTACAGAGGGCTTCACATTCTTCCATACTTTCAAAACAGAGAACAGATATTTGAGATAAAAGACAGCAGATTAACTTCAGCTGCTCTGGGATTCTGATTTCTAACTCTGAATTCAGATTCTGAATCCTAACTCTTTTTACCTGTGTGAGGTTAGAACAACAGCTCGCCTATCTCTGAGCACGCTGACAATAGAGTCCCAGAGGAGCCGCCGGGACTGAGGGTCCATTCCAGTAGTCGGTTCATCCTGGAAGGGAAATGTTAAGACAATCAGAGTCAGAGAAGCAGGTAAGAAAATTTGTTTAGAATCAAGTCATTGTGGTTTTGGGCCTTAACATATAGCTGCTTCCCTACCAAAATCTGTGCCTTGAGAAAGCATGCGCAGCTTGAAAAGCATGTAAGTGAATGGGTACTAATGTATTTCTTTGCACAAAGCAGCAAGGAAACAAGTACAAGAAACTGCAGGTAAGAATGTAATGCTGTCTGTGTAGGGCACAGATACAAGGAAGGGAATCAGTGACCGTTATGACAAAGGCAGTCCCCAGTCAATGGTCCTAGATATCAAAAATACAAGCATTAGTGATACCCCATCATAAAAACATTTAGGACCCAAAATGGAAATAAATGGAAAGAGGTTCATGCAGTAGCCGTTACATCAAATTGTGTCAAGTTTGGCTCCCATGTTTTGATGGACATTAGAGATGCAGGTCAATATACTGTGGAAACAACGAAAATAATCTCGTATCTATAAAACTAGGGTTAAGACAGAGATGGACCCTTTGAATAAAATCTTCATTTTCTGGGGCAACAACTCTTGTAAGAGGAGAGTGAGTTCTCCCCAAGTAACCTTCTTCCTTACATAAACATATAGGACAAATTTCTCGACCCAAGAAGCCAGTGAAGTCACCCTGATTTACACCAGATAAGGATCTGGTCCTGCATAAATCAGTTTAACCCAGTTAGTAACAAAAAAAAAAAATTTAAAATCTTGAAAAGAAAAGTTTTCATTCAACATTGTCATAAGAAATTATGAGAAAACATTTATCTGGCTGTTTGCTACGTACAGGCAGACTACATGTAAAGGCATATTAAATGGCACAAGGAACCATGTTATTAAAATGTTATTAAAACATATCTTTTTAGCTTACAAATTAAGGTGGTGCAGTATAATCTAAATAAAGATTTTTTGTAGTAATTTCATGTAGAGTTTCCCTTGACATACATAATTATCTAATATGTTACTCGATGAGAACTACATTTCAGCATTTGTATAGTTGAGTCTAAACTTGTATAATTTATTCCGGGTAGCTATCTTCCTCTGTTCTGCTGGATAAAGCAGTAAGGTGTATGCTGTAATATCATCTTTTACATGAGTGGTTATACTCTGACGAGAAAAGGCAGACTGAAACCAAACATGGATTTAAATTCAGATTTGTCTGGATTACAGATTTTATCTCAAACCACTCTTTGTTGGAGATATTTCTTTCATGATCACTTGGGGTCCATTGAAAACATAATTATGCATCCCAATTAAATTGAAGTAGATGTAAGTTGAGGGCAGAAAGGAGCTTGCAAGGACTGTCATAGACATCCTTGTACCTCTTTAGCATGTAGTTTTATGAGATGTTATATTCAACTACCACAGACTTATGTTACCATGACACTTACTAGCAAGACGAGTGGTGGGCAGCCTATCAGTGCAATGGCAGTGGAGAGCTTGCGCTTGTTGCCACCACTGTAGGTACCAGCCAGGTGGTCTGCATACATAGGAAGTCCCAGCTTCTGGATGCCCCACTCAGCAACCTACGAGAAAAGACCATCTTTTTCACACAGCAGCTAATGCATAACAGGCGAGACTGCTGATACATCCCTCTTCTGGCAGAGACATGGTAATCCCCTGGGTTTTAGCACAGTCATTTTAGAACTGGAGCAGAGGAGTCCAAAAAATTTATGATGATGAGGGGAATTCTAACTATTTGAGGGAAAACCATAAGCCAACCTCAGGTATAGACTTCCTATCTGTGCAAGAATTTAAATTATTTTCTTCTGGAATCTTCATGTTTTCTTTCTTATACATGAACAACTTTAAAGACGAGAACAAACCAGCAACCAGTGCAGTACTGAGTCATAGCAATTGCGTCTTTAGCCTTCCACAGTTGGTGCCACAGTTGTGCAAGTACCATTAAAGCCATTTGATAGTGCAGTCTTGTACTTAACTGTCCAAATGACAGGAACCACTCCCAGGACTTCAACACACAGAATGGCAAGCCCACTTTGGGAAATCTGGCCTTAGCATGTTACGATCCCAGTTAATCATCACAAATATGCACTGTAACTATGTATACGTCACAAGCAAGAATGCTTTACCCTCTCTATTTCCTCTTCTGGAACTCCCCGCAGGCGTGCATATAAGTAGAGATGTTCTCGTCCTGTGAGCAGGTCATCAATGGCATCAAACTGAGGGCAGTATCCCATGTTTTGATGGACGTTAGAAATGTGGGTCAATATACTGGAGAAACAAAGAAAAGAATCTTATATCTATAATACTATCTTTAAGACAGAGATGAACACTTTGAATAAAATCTTTCTTTTCTGGGGCAACAGCTCCTGTAAGAGGAGAATGAATTCCTCCTGGTACAACATCCTACTAAAACCTCTGTCTGTACATAATAGCAAGGAATTTATTCTCATCTACATCAGCTCAGTCCTGGTTAAGAGTGCAAGCCCATTTCCCTTAACCCATTTTCATGTTCAAGTATAGGCTAAATTAACTAGAAGTTCTTTGAACAGCCACTCAGATCATATTTTTTGTAAATGGTTTTTATTTCTAGAAGAAAAAAATCAGTCCATTTCATCTCAGAGTGTGGTAACTGGGAACAGACAGGCAAGACACAAGGCTAACGCTTCGCTGGTAGTAATAGTAGGAGAAGTATAGAATCACAGAATGGTTCAAGCTGGAAGGGGCCTCTAGAGGTCATCTTGTCCGCCCACCTAGCTCAATCAGGGTCACCTAGAGCAGGTTGCCCAGGACCATGTCCTGGCAGCAAAATAGCTATTGTTCAAATCACATAACAGAGAAAGAATCAAATCCCAACTACACTTAACAAATGAAGACACACAACCTGGAACTAAACTAACATAAGTGAATACCAGATCACGCTGTATTAACTTACAACATTATGCTAACACTGTGTAAATCAAGATGCTAGAAACAGCCAGAGAAAAGTCCCAAAGCTCAGATCAAAGTACCCTGTTGGACTGGTTATCTTATGTTTGTGAGCTCTTGTCATTAGATCCAATTGCCTTGTCCCACTGTTAGCATTACTGTAACCTACTCATAGATTTTACAACAGAGTGTTAAAAGTATGAAGTGCCAGTGTGTGTTAGCTGTGGTCTCTCTCAGTGCCATAAAACTGGAAAAGAGCTGCTGGGTCATTGAGACTATGATCTGAGCAGTTCTACATGGACTCTCTCAGGTTTTTTTTTAAGGTACTTACCTACTGCCAGCCACTACAGCATCTCCAGATGTCACATCAGTATCTCCAGTCAGCATTTTGAACGTTGTTGTTTTGCCAGCACCATTCACTCCCAAAAGACCAAAGCACTGAAAATTTATTACATTCTTTAGTATTTCCAACTTGCAAATCAGCAGGGGCATGAAATCTGAACTGATCCATGGAACGTAATCTGGTGTTATTGAACAACCTACCTCACCAGGACGGATGCCAACACAGAGTCTGTCCACTGCAGGCTTGTGCCTGCCTGCATAAATCTAAATTGACAGAAAAAAAAAAAAAAAAAAAGAAAACTCCTATTTCAAGACATCTACAGCAAAGAAAGTCTTCTGAATTTTTTAGTTTAATGCTATTGGGATGGGGCAACCTTAGAATCAAGACAGGAGTAAATAAAAATTCAAAAGAAAGAGTAAGCATTCTACAAGGTCAGACATTTAGTTATATTAAATAAACCCCTAAAAATACCAATTTTTCTGCATGCAGGATTTTACTTTGTATCTTTAGCACTAGGAGGCAGAAATGATGGTTTGCTGGGGCAAAGTATCTCTGACATATCAAACCAAAGTGGAAAAATACAGCAAGACAGTCTGAAGAAAAATACTCCAGTCCTCTGTTCCTGAGATTCTAGCAATGTGTGCAGTCTTTATATTTCTGTAGCTCAAGCTTACATGCATTCTGATAGCATAACTCACATGCCTTCAATGTCTGGAAAGAAGATAAATTAGCAGTAACTGTAGCCCTCGATGTGAAAGCAACCAAAGGGTTAACATGAGATTGAAACTGACCTATGGAAAAAACAGCACTGTAGAAGAAAAGGCTAGTAGTAGGAATGGACAGTCAATAGATAACAGTCATGTCAGACAACCTGAGGCAAAAAAACCCCAAACCCTAATCAGAGAGGGTTGCACTGTCCTTGTTGGACTTCCCTCTGGTTTAATTTCTAATCAAATGAAATAGCCAAATAACATGTCAAGCCTTGACTTCTAAAACGTGTGTTATTTTCTAAGGCATAAGTTTGGTTTTGAAAACAGTATCATCTGAATTCACAACTGAAATACATTCTGAAAGAATAAATTGACACTAGACTTACTTGTTTCATTCTTCTCAAAATATTACCTTGGTCAGTTCTTGTAATTCTAAGATATCTGTTTTGTTCCCTCCATTCATAATCCTTTTTCTTTCTTCTGCAACATCCTCATCTTCACCAATAATAGGTGACATATCAGTCTCAGAAAACCTGGAAAACCCCAAGAGATTGATTGCAGAAACAATGAGTTGTCCTCGGTGCAGTTAGAATAACCGTGAGAGACAATGGCTAATCAACTGCCAAAAATATGACTGGTGGAAGCAGTGGGATTGAAACTTCACAATGTGACACTGGCTGGAGCATTCCTG